TTTTTTTTTTTTTTTGCTTTGAAATAATAAACAGTAGTAAAAACTTTACAAAAATTATAGCAGGTTTTTGAGCAGTACAAAACTCTGTTCATTCTCTTTTGATTTATTTTAGCGAAGTAACGTTGTCGATCGCAGTTCATCATTCATTGTTTGAATCGTTAAAATTGTAAATCACTTTTTGCTCATCTGTATTTCACTGTATAAATTGTTGGTTGATATTTGAGCATAGCCAAGCCATTTGCTAATCAGCTGCAAATGTTGATTAGACTGTAATAAGCTTTAAAAAGTATTAATATTTCTATTTCTAGCAATAAAGAAGTTTTTTGTATGCAGCAGTCAAAACTTTGCTATATTATATTTATCGCGTTGCAGCATAGAATTTTATGATAGACGTTAACCGAATTGTAACCATCGAAGAGTTTAGGAGATAAAACCAAATGAACATTTCTGTGAATAAACCTTCTTTAAAAGGTTTATTGAAGACTTCTACTTTGCGCTCTGAGGCATTGTATTTGAATAGAACATTTTTTGTTTTGGATGCTTCTTGTCAAAAAAAAAATCTTATTCTCAAAAAATTTAGGACTTAATTTTTCTGCTTAAATTTTTTTACAACTTATTTTCACCAATTTTTGTTCTCAAATAATTAACTGCTGCATCAAAGTGCTAATTTTTGTGGCAACGAACCGATTGTTATTGTATGTCATAAATGTGTTCGTTCACCGTTTTTGCTAATTTGCTGCCATTACAGCTGGTTTCTATCGATGGTTAATCTTAATCCGAGTATTCTCAAAGTTTGATGGCCATTTATCCTCTTCTCGTTACATACAATTATGTTGATTGTTTTTAAACCAAAATTTCTGCTTCAGTGGTTTTCATACAAAACACTAAAAACTTGTTTACATTTAAACAAACTTTTGAAAGAGAAACCAAAGTTTTTTTTAGATCTTTAATTATGAAAAACAAGAGAGTTTCCAATTGATTTCCTAAAGATCTCTTTCTCTTGTCATCTATTTCAGTGTTATAATTGAAAAGAATGTTCCAAAGATTTTCTTTTAAACCTTAGTTGACAATCGATAACGAAATAGGCCGGTCTAATCTAATCAAATTTAGCGAACGTCTGTTGAACAAAAAAAGAAAAGAAAATTATTTACTTGACAGATTACTAATTCGGTCAGCAAAACTCGTAATTTAACGTTTACAGAAATCTAAAAGATAATTGTTATTTGTGTTGCTTACTGTTTTTTTCTCCTGATTTCCATTCATTTTCGGCGAAGAACTGTACAACGAATTTTGCATTGAATACCAATGACCTAGTAACTTGCAACTTAAGCATTCATCATTTTCATCGGCAGTTCACTGCAGTGAACATCTGACAAAACCAAACACTCTTCTTTATCTAAAAACGGCAAATCTTAAGTTTCTACAGTCCCAAAATTTATTGTAAAAAGAAGAATGCTAACGCTACTGCACTTGATGCCTTTTGGCAAAGTAGTAATAATAATGAAACGCTGCCCTCTATCTTTCCTAAAGTAGTTAGGCAAAAACCTATTAGCTATTGAGACACTTACTTCAAAGGCAGAATGACAGATATTTTTTGTTAAAAACTTGATATAATCGTTTTCATTGATAACTGTGCTACAGCTTATAGTTCACTTTCAGATTGCATGTAATGTGGCGTTTGAAGATCAGGAAAGCAATGAGTTTCATGCAAGAAATAAAGAGTAATAATAATAATAATAAGGTTAAAAAAGGTTTTTGAACAATGCAAACAGTTTTAAAAGTTCATAACCGCTTTTTTCTACCACTATTTTGTTCTTTTTGTTTGGTGTTTTACTGTACCTTACCTATTGCAGCAAGCGGCTAACTAGTTTTATTCTCTGATAAGCACCAATTTGTTAACATGAAGGTAAACATCCGAGGTTTTTTAGGGTGTTTACAAAGAACAAAATTAAATAAAATAAAAAACGAACCTGATACTGCAAGTTTTTCCTTCGTTTTATACTGCGAGCTTGTTGTTTTGCCACTTCGACTTCAAGAACAGTACCGGAATTAGGCACTAAAACGAGTTTTAACAGTAATAGTACTCTCACCTTAAGATTTTGAACAGCAGTATTTAAGTCTGAAATGCAGATTAGATTCCTAGGACGAAGCCAACAGACATCGTTGCTAGCGGTGCTTTACAGTTATTTTAGCGAAAAACCTGCTACATTTTGTTCTACCTGTAATGCCATTTCAGAACGATTATCTGACGTTTACAATTACATTTTTGCTAATTATCTAATATTTTTCTCGTACATTCAAACACTTGTTGCTTTATTACAAATGAAGAAGTTAAGAAGTAAAATTAAAAGAAAAAAATTTACAAGACGGTTGATATGAGAATTGCGTAGAAAGTGTATGGGCAATGATTGCTAACTGATTTTCTGTAACAAAATTAAATTCTTTTTTGTTTTCTGGTTTTATCGCTGTCTATTTGGCTGTTATTTCCAAGCAGAAAGATTTGCTGTATCAAAATTGTTATGATAAGCTACAAAAAAAAAACGCTGAACGTATGACAATTAGGCGTGAATATATATAATCGCGTAAAACGCTTGCTTTACGCGTAAAAGTCGTGCAAAATTCGATTGAAACAGATTGATTTTGACAAG